AATGATGCAAAACTGTCAAGCTCACCTGCTTTCCAATGTTAAATGGGATGTATTTATATTTGACCATGTGGCCAATTTGGCGCTTCATTGTGAGGATGAAAAGAACGATCCAGTAGAGCATTAATACTGGCCAAAAGACAGGAACATCAAATGCAGAGAAGAAAGTCGTGACAAATGCTATGCAGAAGGCCCTAGTGACCGCATACCTGAAACCACAAAAAGTAATCAACCTATTATACAAACGAGGGCTTTATAAAGCATCAGGCGTTGATCTGCCATTTTATTATTATACTACAATATTAGAACATTTAAAACAGCAAGTTCCGTAAAGTGACAGAACAAATCAGTACCAGAAAAATAAAAGTTCGGAAATGATACCTAAAAACATCAACCTGCTTACTCCCAATTATTACCATGAAAACATATCACAATTACTACACCATTTGCCCTTGTTTTCACCAGAATCCTAAATCTCACTAAATAATCAGTAAAAATTTGCTCAAACAAAGATATCATCAACAGACACAAAATTATATCCATCAAGGTTCAACAACAAAAGCTGCATAACCAACAAATGCATCTTCAGAATACCAAACTAGTGCAACATCGTCATATGGCATATAACAAGGTGATCCAGCACAATGCACCCAGAACCACCACTAAGAGATGTTTGGCATTAGAAACATCAAAAGGAAGAAGGTTTTTTTTTTTTTGTTTTTTTTGGGGATGTGCCAAATGTGACAAGAACTAAGAGCAAATAGCAAGGGAAATTACCAAAACTTGAATTCTGGGAGCCGACGAATGAAAGGTTTGAATTCATCTGAACCTTTTGTAGGCAGCACGGGACCATCTGAAGTTTCTAGGCTAGGATCAACAAGAGGTGTCAGAAAACCAATCAGCAAATTCAGTATGTAGATGCCCAAAAAATAGGTCACCATGTAGAACCCTTGAATGGAATAGACCCGGAGAGCAAAAAGAGATGCAAAGATGGATGTTCCAATCCACCGATAAAGTGCATGAGGTGTAGTTTTATCCAAATAATGCTGGAAAAGCTTTGAAATTTCATGACTCTGTTGGTTCAGTGCTGCAGCAGCTGATCGAACATCACCACCATCAACACCCTCCATAAAATTCAATTTCACAATCCTTCAAGTCTCATATAAGAAAAAACAAAATTAATCCACAACCTTTATTTTCTTAAGCATCCCAACATACAATAACAGGCATAAATTGATACACAACAAACAGATACAGTGTTACACATTTGGAAATATGCTCAACTGATTGCCATCATTCTCAGGAACACCAAATTCATAATTTTACAAAACTTCAGCGGCAATTGTTAGTTTGATGGACATGAGATCTGACACTTCCCAATGTGAAGTGCTAACATGCTTCATCAGTTGAATAAACCTCTCTTTTACATTTGAACTCTCCGTTAAAAACTAAGCTTCAAACTGCAGCTAACGATCAGCTACACATACATCTGCAGCAATCATACTGATCTGAGAGTTTTCCCTCTACATATCACGCATGAATATCCAGCCCCTTTCAATCCCTCCAAAAACAATTCGTAACACTACCAATGTTCCTTTACCTAACTACAATACACCTAACTCTTATCAACAACCACTGAAAACTTATTTTCTGACGAAATAAACTCAAAGCAAACGCAGATCTGAAACTGGCCGATACAATACACAAATTCTACATCCACTGAAATTACGATAAATACTATAATGCTACATATTAGAAATACAGAGCTATGACATCGATTAACATAAGTAAAATTAGGGTTTAGTTAACGCAAATCATGAAGAAGAAGAAGAAGAAGAAGAAGAAGAAGAAGAAGGAGGCATACCTTGGAAGATGAAGGAGTAAGAAATGCGAGGACGAAGGGATCTGTTCGGGTAAGAGTGTCTCTATGGTCGTCTCTATTCCTCGCAGTTCAACAGTTTTTCAGCTGTGCGAGGGAGAGCGGAGAAATCGTTACAGTTATCTCTAGTCTGTTGTCGTCTGCAAGTAGAATACGCTTTTGCCCTCCACCATTTTTATTTTTGGCCTATCTCCTCATCCTCGTGTCTCTTTTCCTTGTTTTGTTGACAATATTATGCTATCATTTTTTGTAGTTTTTTACTTTTTAATTTTTATAAGCTACCCAGCTTCCTTCGTAAGACAATAGGTGGAAAGTTATGTTGTGGATCCTATCGAATCATAAATAAATATTTATTTTTAATGTATTAAAATTTTATTTTTAAGTAATACAACAAATGAATATTTAATTTACTATCAATAACTTTGTGGTATAGTGGTACAAAATGATTCTTTCAAATTGAGAGTTGTAAGTTTGAGTCCATAAAGTCAATAATATTAAAAAATGATGGGCAATAATAAAACCATTTCTTAAGAGTTGAGATTTTCACCGCATGTAAAAAAGAGAGAGGAAAGGAAAAGGGAAAAACAAAAAGACAAAACAAAAATTTATTTGCTTTTTTTTTTTTTTCTTCCTGTAACAACGGACCCCATAAAAAAAAACCAACATTCGCAAAGAATACACTTTTCTTCTCTCATCTCACCTTTCATGCTCTCTCACTTCACTTCATTTATCAATTGATGTACAATCCATATTTTTTGTTAAGTATTGGAGTACAAGAATAGTACGTATATTTCCTGTTGTGCTGTACAAAGTAAAAGTCCTATTTATACATAGGCTGAAAGACTACTAGCCATCAGGGCCCTGTTCTAGTAAATAAATGTGGCCCTATAAAATCACAATTTTGAAAATCAATACATGCAAGTTTTGAACCTTTGACCTCCAAGTTAAAGTAACCAATAAATACACATTCTTTCCATCTCTTCATGAAACCTTTTTAGTTCAATTGAAACTTTTAATTTTTATTTCTAAACTAATTATGTAAAAATTATATATTGGACCTCTAAAATTTGGGGCCCCTCTAAAATTGGGGGCCATGTGCGATAGCCCAGCTTGCACAGCTTAAAATCCGGCCCTGCTAGCCATCTAATATTTTTCATGTATTTGCATTAATCTATAAGGGTGATTTTTTAAAAATCTATCCTATCGTACCGAGATATGATTGTACATTTTAAAATATCATTATTTAGAGCCTTCCCATTTGTGGTTTTGAGGAGATTTTTGCAGTCTTTTTGCCCATGCGAAAGAGAGAGAAGGTTGGGGTTGCCATGCAAGAATCAAGTTTTTTGTGGGTCCCGCAGAAAAGAGAAATGGTATAAGAGAGCTGCAGTCCTGCACGTTTGGCGCACATCCAACGCCCAATCCGAAGTGTGCAGTGCACGCGTTAGCTAGGCGCATGAACTGCTTTGTTTTTCCCTTTTTTTTTTTTTTGCTTTTTGCGTCATATTTTGCTTTTCCCTTTTTTTTTCCCTCTTTTTCTTCTACTCTTTCTCTTATCTTACCTACATAGCCTGTAAAAACCAATGCTAAAATCCAAACTAATGAGGATGCTCGTATTATCACAATCAATCAAATTTTAAAGTATTACTAAATATATAAAATAAAAAAATTTATCCGTATATTGCACGCGCACTGCACATATAATTGGACAATAATTTGCTCGAATTCAAGCAAGAATAACATCAAAAAACATAATCGATACAACTCATTTCATTAATTGCACTATACAATAATCGTTGTTATAATTTATATTTGTATATTGATTAAAATATTCAATTCTTGCAATTCCAAAGAGAGTTCAAACTCTTCCCTTCCCTACTTGCAAGAAACCAAGGTATTATATAAATATGTAATGGATTGAACACATACAAATACTGCAGTAAATTAAATGTTTCTCTGGGTAATGAAAAAGTACTGATAATCAATCCCTAGTTGAAACATGATTTCCAAGCATGCATCTCGTCGATATTATTATATGACTGTTCCATCACTAATAGACACATTTTCCATTATAACGACAATCTCTGACCTAATATAAAATCCTTCCTCTGGCCGGGCCGCTTCTTCAACACCCTGAGTGCCCATTTATCAATTACTTCGATTCAATCATTGACCTAATATCGCACGTACATTGCACGCGCACTGCATGGATAATTGGGCAATTATTTACTTGAATTCAAGCAAGGATAACATCAAAAAAACATAATCGATACAACCCATTTAATTAATTGCACTATATAATATTTGTTGTTATAATTTATATTTGTATATTAATCATAATATTCTTAAAAATTATATCAAATCTATTCCGAGTAAAAATACTAGTTTCCTATAAAACAACAACAAAATGCCAACACGGCAACACATTCAATATCCAAATATAATACAAATAATATTCATTCTTCAAAATATATATAACGGGGAAGCGGGAGGGGCGCAAAGTAGTATATCTCATTTCCTCAACAACAAATGAAATAAATTTCCTATTTCCATTCTATGAATTTTAATGAGTGTTGCTATTTACACTACCCTTTGACTAAAAATGGTATAAAGCATCTTGAAAGTGTAAAAGGGTAAAAACTTTTATTAATTAATAGGTGGTGTAAATAGCCAAATGGGGATACCTTTTTGCTATTTGCACCACCTGGTCAAACTTGCATTTAATAAATTATTAATTCAAAATTTAATTAATTAAAATATTAAAAAAAAAAAAAACTAAACATCATCTTCTCCGTCTCCGGTGAGAAGGCGACCCACTGGGCTGCCTTCTCACCGGAGAAGGCAGCCCCTCGCCCTCTCACCGGAGAAGGTGATGAGATTTTTTTTTTTTTTTTTAACTGGGCTGTCTTCTCCGGTGAGAAGGCAGCCCGTCGCCTTCCCACCGGAAAAGGTGACGGTCTTTTTTTTTTTTTTAATTAATATTTGACCATATTAATGATGGTGGACTTTTCTATTTGCACCACCTATAAAGCTATTATACATATTAAATAGGTGGTGTAAATAGCAAATTGAGTGATGCAAATAGAATTACTCATTTTAATCCATATTCTCATTTCTATCGACATTCCTAATTAAAATGGGTCATCCTTACTCTAAACATTGCTTTTATTTGAACTACTTTTACTTCAATGATAGTTTATATCTAAGTCTCAATCCCAAAAGCATTATATACACACCCAAAAAAAAAAAAAAAAAAACCTCAAAATATACTCTTGACAGTTGGCAACTACTTGGTTGACCTAGATTGACCAAGTAATATGCATATTTACTGTCAAAATATTCACTTCTTACAATTCCAAAGAGAGTTCAACCTCTTCCCTTTCCTACTTGCCCCTCTTACTTGAATGAGTCTAATAATTAATACTCACCTTCAAAATGAATTTACCATTACTATATATATGAATCAATTCACACTATTCACAATGCAATGGAGATGTGTTTCAAATCTGATGGAATTTATAACAACATTAAACATTCATTCCACTTACCATGAAACATCAAAGCAAGAAACTAAGGTATTATATAAATATGAAATGGATTGAACACACACAAATACTGCAATAAATTAAATGCTTCTCTGTGTAATGAAAAAGTACTGATAATCAATCCCTAGTTGAAACATGATTTCCAAGCATGCATCTCGTCGAGATTATATGACTGTTCCATCACTGATAGTTACGTTCTACATTATAACGACAATCCCTGACCTGATATAGAATCCTTCCTCTTGTCGGGCCACTTCTTCAACACCCTAAGTGCCCATTTATCAATTACTTTGATTGAGAAAAGAGAAAAGGATGATTAACTACTTGTGGTGTACCTAAAGATAAAACTCACATCTTTGTTCGTGATAACAACATTTTTCCTGACCCTTACGTTCTTGTCAATAATGCAGTTCCATCTGCTATAAGCCATGTTTTTTTATTATTATGATGGTACTCTTTCCCCATTGTTGAAGACCGATAAAGCTTTAATAAACCTCCCGAGGTTGGTTTAACATTAGAATTATTTATAATTTCATCTTTAATTTTATTATCTAAATATATAATAAAAAAAATGTATCTGTGCATCGCACATGCACGCGCACTGCACAGATAATTTGGCAATTATTTGCTCAACAAGGATAACATAAAAAAAAACATAATCGATACAACCCATTTAATCAATTGTACTATATAATATTCGTTGTTATAATTTATATTTGTATATTAATCAAAATATTCTTAAAGATTATAACAAATTTATTCCATGCACCAAGTGGCTTGTAGTTCATTGGTATTCGGTTGCTCCCCTAAGTGGGAGGTGTAAAGTTTGAACCTCAATTGATCAAGCAAATAATGTGTATATGTAGGGTATTCCCTTATAAAAAAAAATGCCAACACGGCAACACATTCAATATCCCAATATAATACAAATAATATTCATTCTTCAAAAAATATATATCCCAATATAATACAAATAATATTCATTCTTCAAAATATATATAACGGGGAGGGGGGAGAGGTCCAAGCCGCAAGGTAGTATATTATCTCATTTCTTCAACAACAAATGAAATAAATTTCCTATTTCCATTCTATGAATTTTAATCCATGTTCTTATTTCTATCGAGATCAAATGAAATTGTCATTCCTAATTAAAATGGTCATCCTTACTCTAAATATTACTTTTATTTAAACCACTTTTACTTTAATGATAGCTTATATCTCATCATGTAAGTCTCAATCCCAAAAGCATTATATACACACCCAAAAAAAAAAAAAAAAAAAAAAAAAAAAAAAAAAAAAAACCTCAAAATATACTCTTGCTAAAGAGTGACAGTTGGCAACTACTTGATTGACCTAAATTGACCAAGTAATATGCATATTTACTGTCAAAATATTCAATTCTTACAATTCCAAAGAGAGTTCAAACTCTTCCCTTCCCTACTTGCCCCTCTTACTTGAATGAGTCTAATAATACTCACCTTCAAAATGACTTTACCATTACTATATATATATATGAATGAATTCACACTATTCACATGCAATGGAGATATGTTTCAAATCTGATGGAATTTATATTGACAACAACATTAAACATTCCACTGATGAATACTTACCATGAAACATCAAATTAAAGCAAGAAACTAAGGCATCATATAAATATGTAATGGATTGAAGTTTGAACACACACAACTACTACGGCAGTAAATTAATTAAATGTTTCAATTCTCTGGGTAATGAAAAAAGAACTGATAATCAATCCCAAGTTGAAACATGATTTCCCAGCATGCATCTCGTCGAGATTATATGATTCTTCCATCACCGATAGTTGCGTTCTCCATTATAACGATGATCCCTGTCCTGATATAAAATCCTTCCTCTGGCCGGGCCGCTTCTTCAACACCCTGAGTGCCCATTTATCAATTACTTCAATTGGGAATAGAGAACAATAAAGATGATTAACTTGTGGTGTACGTAAAGATAAAACTCACATCTTTGTTCGTGATAAAGACATTTCTTCCAACCCTTACATTCTTGTCAAGAATGCAGTTCCTTTGAAGAAAACAATGCATTAGGTTTGGGAGTTGCAAGCTAAGAAATGGTATTACTAAAGAACACATAAAGTACAGATGAGAGATTTATGTACCTAATTTTTGTGTTTTGTCCTATGCCCATAGGCACTTTTTCACCAGCCAGAAGAAGAGCTATTTCAGATTCAGTTTCATAGTTATCTGCTCCCATCATTAAAGTATCCTGAGGAATTCAAGTAACAGAAACACAATATGAGAGCTACTATACAACAACATTTACAGTACTAGAATACTAGGCTGCAATAATTAATGAAACATAAAAACAAAACCAACCTTTAGTTCAACACCAGAATCTAATCGGGATCGTTCACCAACTATGGAATGTTGCACAATGCATTCTCGCAAAAAACACCCATGCGATATTATTGCATCCTTTATCTGCAAAACGATAATGTCTGAGCCCCGGTATATATATATATATATATATATATATATATATATATATATATATATATATATATATATATATGTATATATGCATCTTGAAGAAATGCAAATTACCAGCTTATATATTTACCTTGCAGCGATCGATTTTGCTGGGTGGTAGGAACCGAGGAGATGTGTAGATAGGTGTTTTTGGATCATAAAATTCGAACTTGGGAAACTGCAACCATTCAGTTATATATATTTAGAAGTAGCACAAATATATGTCACTTAATCTGTAAAGAGTTACTGCAAATAAAAACAAAACCTGTTCTGTAAGGGCTAAGTTTGCATCATAGAAAGATTTGATTGTTCCAATGTCCTCCCAGTAGTCTCTGAAAATGTAAGCCTGTGCAAGTGTCTTTGCCAAGTTAGTTAAGGAAGAACAAAAACAACCTAGTAACATATGTCGTTTTGTTTTCATACTTGAATGTTGTGGTCTGTGAGAGTTGCGGGGATGATTTCTGACCCGAAGTCATTGAATGCGGGATATTTCCATGTAAGAAGATTCAAGAGAAACTCTGTCCTAAATACATAAATCCCCATTGAAGCAATAAAAGGGTTTCTTCTTGCTTCTTCTGAAGACAACCCCAGAAGAGTGGTATCTACTTGCTGTGATACAACAAAAAGATTATTACAATTCGCTTTCTTTGAAACGGGAAACTCAAAAGGTGGATATGAAAAAAACCATGCAATTCAAGATGTTATTGTACCTACCATTTCTTTTAGATCAATGCCTTTAGGTTTCTCGACAAACTGGACAACTCGACCACTATGGTCCATTTTCACCAGCCCAAAGTTGGAAGCTCGACTAGGAAAAGTTTCAAACTTCAAACTATATATCTAGTTGATGATAGACAAATAAGAAGTATCGTTTTAGACAAAGAACAAATGGGAATTCTTACCTTTCATTGGTTGGCACACAAGAAATAGTAATATCAGAATTGCAGTCAATGTGGTTCTGTTTAAACAAACAACCAGAAATGTAATAGCTTAGCAGTGAGATCGATCTTCGAGTTTGAATAAGAAATTCCAAACTTAATTACTCGAAATAATGGACATATATATACCTGCACCAGGTCCATGTAGTCCATCCTGTAAAGCTGATCCCCAGACATAATAACTATATTGTCTATATCCTTGTTCTTCACATCCTGAATTAATTAGTTGTTATTTACCGGTGAAATCTCCAAATTTTAAAGAGGAACAACAGAGACACACCTCAAATACCCACGTAAATTGCCTAACAGCATCCGCAGTTCCTTGAAACCATTTCATTCCCGCTTCCCCTGGTGTCTGGGTAGCTGCCAAAACCTGCATTCAGTCACCAAACACGTTCGGTTTATGGTTGTTAAGAGTTCCACATTGATAAAATAAGAGAGAGCATATGGATTTATAAGACCATGGGTTAGTCTGCCTTGGGACTATGTAGATTTGATCAACATTATAGTACTAAGCTAGCATTTTGTTTGAAACCAATGAACATTATAGTAATGACTACTCTAGTCTATCACTATATATATATGATACCAAACTCCATACTTAACAAGCAAAGCTAAAATCTATATATATTCTTATAGTTTAGCTCGTTCCGGCCTATACTACCTCGAAAAATCCATCACCGAAGCTCACACCATTGCCAAAGTAGGTGCGAGCAATGTGGCGATTAAGAGAAGCGGAATTGAACTGTGTCAGCACAAACACCTTGCTAATTCCACTGTTGATGCAGTTGCTCATTGGGATGTCTATCATCCTATAGCATCCCCCAACCGGGACCTACACAACACATAAACTTTCAGTCACTCAACTGGGCTATAATGCACATGACTAAGCCAAACCACACTAAAAGACTGAATTCAATCAATTAGCCAGTCTAACTCATATGTTCTTACAGCAGGGGTTGCAGCTCTGCGGGTAAGAGGGAAAAGCTGGGAGCCTGCGCCGCCTCCCAGTATGATTGCAGCCACATTTTTCGAGTTTGCCCGGGCTCTAGGTGCTTCCAGATCCACACTCTAAATCACAGAAATACTCCATAACTCTCACTCATATACAACTAACACACTGTCACTACTGGAAATTATGGAATTTTCGACCACCTAAAAGTGATCTTAAATCAAGTTGAAAGCCTTGTTCCGACCACTTTTGGTATCCGGAAAAACCTTTGTTGCATTTCCGACCACTTTTTGGTATCAACTTGATTTAAGATCACTTTCAGGCGGTCGGAAATTCCATAATTTCCAATAGTGTGTAAAAAAGTAAAAAAAAAACTGAAAACTTCAACTTACAAGAGCATCATTGCCATGTTCTGATGTTGTGAGAGCAGAGAAAGCAACCCTGGGGAGTTTAATTTTCCATTCCTTTCTTTCAAGTCTCAAACTGTTTGGACTTCCTCCCATTCTCTTCCCCCAAAACTTGCTCTCTCTAGCCAAATGGGTGGTGGATTTCAAACTTGCCCAACGAGCTTCCATCACTACTGTTCAATCAAGAATCTACTAACCCCCACTTCTTAATGAGGACCTGATCAAATCAAATCAAAGAAAAACAAAAAAAAGCTTCAAGACTCAATTTTTATTATGTATAACAGCAACCGCACTTATCACGCACGTGAAAACTTACAAATTAAAGAACAACAACATACATATCAACTGATAATAACGAATTGAAGAAGATTAAGTTTAAGAATTCTGAACCTGGAATAATGATGGGATGCGATTCTCCTACAAAACCAAAGCTTCAAGACTCGATTTTTTGAAGAGCCCAGACCATGAAAGCTACCATAACTTAACCAAAGTGAAAAGCTCTAAGGAAAATATATATAATGTTGGCCGGGGTGAAAGCTAAGGTGGAGATCGAGTATTACTAGCTAGAATCGCCGCTTTCACGCTAGTTTTGTGAGTACACTCCTACACTATACTACAAGGCCAAGATCACACTTTTCCGTTTATTGTAATAGGCCAATAGTCCACGTTGCAAGAGATCTCCAAACCAGGAATACACTTGTCTATACATTCATGCAAGATACGGGTATATTCTGCCTATACATATACATATACATATCAACTGATATACGCAATGGAATTTGTATTGTTATATACTAAAAACATATACTTTCATGACAGTTCTTCACATGGCCTGCATTTACTGAACGAAAAAGAAGGAAAAAAGGCAAACAAATTGTCTTTGGACAAAATATACTAACTAACACTCTTTTCTAGCCTTTGAACACATTTCATTATGTTTTTCCATTTTCCAAATCGAACAAGTGTTAGTTTTTACAATAATACCCCTAAAACCCAATAATTAGTGCATACCCGGCGAGGCTAGCTCAAGTGGTAAACCATCTAGCATAAAGTCACCTCTTTAGTAACAAGGTAGGGTTTAACTTCCACCGCCAACGACATCTTGGAACTAAGGCTTCCCAACCTAGATTTTGGGCCATTGGTTTTCTAGATGGGAGATTATTAGACTCCCTAAGTTCGTTGGTGGAAGTGTGAAGATAGACCCCTCAGTCAGAGTCAACAATAAGGACTAAATAAGAGGCTGCTTGGGCGATTCACGATTTATCACCTCCATAGTAGGAGTATGACTCCCACCAACAATATCTTGGAGCTGAGGCTCAACTCCTAGACTAAATTTTGGGCCCTTAGGCTTCCTAGATCGGAGATTCCATTTGATATTGGGCTCTCCAAGTTGGTGAAAGTGTGAAGATGGATCCTTGAGTCATAGTCCTCAAGTTGGCAAAAGTGTGAAGATGGATCATTGAGTACTAGATTTTGGGTCATTAGGCTCTTTAAATTAGAGATTAGACTCTTAAGTTGGTGAAAGTGTGAAGATGGATCATTGAGTACTAGATTTTGGGCCATTAGGCTCTTTAAATTGGAGATTAGACCCCTAAGTTGGTGAAAGTGTGAAGAAAGATCATTGAGTACTAGATTTTGGGCCATTAGGCTCCTTAAACTGGAGATTAGACTCTTAAGTTGGTGAACGTGTGAAGATGGATTCTTGAGTCGGAATCCCCAAGTTGGTGGAAGTGTGAAGATGAATCATTGAGTCGAAGTCCTTAAGTTGGTGGAAGTGTGGAGATAAATCCTTGAGCCTGAATCAATGATAGGAATTGACTGAGACACTATTTAAGCAACTCACGATTTACCTCATTCAAATGAGAGTTTGACTACCACCAACAATATCTTGAGCTAAGGGCCTAAGGCTCCCCACTCCCTAGACTAGATTTCCAGCCCTTATTCCTTAGATTGAAGACATCCTCTAAAGATTTTTGAATAGGTTCTGGAGACTTAGGAGTTAGGTTTAGTAGCATAAGCAAACTTAATTAAAAAAAAAAAAAAAAAAAAAAAAAAAAAAAAAAAAAAGTGAAATAGAACTCAGATAATAACGGTACACATGCATGCCGGTACTTTTGTTTATCATGGATGCTAGTACTGTTCCTCGTTACTTCTGTACTCCTAGGAATGAAAAGTAACTGAAAAAATGCTAATGTATGACAGGAGGTTAACTAGGTAGTTTGATCAATGTATTTTATTATTCCTTGTCTCTCATTTTGTATGCTACATATATGATCAAATTAACTTTTCTTATCTATTTATTTATTTTTTAACAATTTCTTATAATTTTTAAATTAAACTTTTTTTAATATTTAGTATAACTTTTAATAATGTTGCTATTAAATATATAAATTTTATTATCATTAAAATTAAATTAAATATTAAAGAATTAAAATGTAAATAATAGAAGTGATGGGGATATTGGATATGGGCTAAGGACTTAGTGGGCTGAAGTTGTTGGGTTGAACAGGTCCAGGGGGTATGGTCGGGGCAGGGTGTTTGGTGGTGGGGTGGTGGCCGGCGCCGGCCGGAAGGGATCGCCGGCTGGGTGCTGGTGTAGCACCCCCGTGCAAGGACACGGGGGCCGCGGCCGGAGGAGAACGCCCCAGCCGGCAATGGCGCGCCCGGTGCGCGGCTGGGCGCCCCATCACGGGGGGGATGCCGGAGAGTGGTCTACCCGGGGTGCGCGGGAGAAGTTGCGGGGGTGTCGGTGCATGGCGAACGTACGGACTGCTGTGCGATAAACGAGGAAGTGGCATCTAAGTAGTGGGACATGTGGACAGCCAAAGGGGGAGGGGGGGCCTGCTATAAATAGGGGCCCTGGATCTTTGGCTAAGGGGCAACACAGAGACACGATAGTCACACTAGTCCAGTGGCATTGGTCTCAGACTCTCAACTATTCCAGTTAGGTTTGATTCTCGGTAGTGGCATTGTTAGCTATAGCCCGTCTTCTGGGCCTTGCTTTGTATTTGGACCGCCATTCTGGGCCTGTACCTCAGGCTTTGTAACCCCGTTCCCGTTCTGTATTTCTATACCCGATTTATGGTGGACTCAGTGGGCCAAATTGAAGTACACAACTATGTGTAACTGATTAATCCATTGACATTAACAACTAGGAAAATGTTTATTTTCTCCACCATGCCAAAAGTTTCCACTCCTACACGTTTGAGGGTAAACTTTGGGAGGAAAAAAAATTTGAGTTCCAATTGGCTGATACTCTTGATAATATAAGTTAATTGGCTAAAGCGCAATCCAGCAATCAAACCAAACAAATTCCTAGTCCGTCCCCTTGTGTCAAAGGTGAAATCGTACACCCCAGACGCCCTCACACCCTAGCCCGACAGTTTGTAGAAGGTAAATCATTGTGACTCAACTGATCAACACATATTAGACTTTTGCTCACTGTACAGAAGAAGCTTCAATTCTCTCATTTGAAAGGTTGCTTCCACATACACTACCGCTGATGAGATCGACTTGATCCTTGGTCTCGATCTTGTGACAAATTCCTAGTCCCCTCCTATAAGAACAATTCCATTCCTTTTTCTAGCAAGTCCTGTACGTGGGTTTATTGAATTGATTTCACCCCATATGCATATTTGTTTAGTATAGTTTGAGCTAGCGCATATGCTAGCTATTCATATATTTTCCCTTAGCCTTGGGGCAAGTTTGGCCGGCCATGCATGCAATGCTATGGACGTGTATATTCCTAAGGCCACCATCATATCCTTTAATTTGTTCTTCTAGTCACCATCTCCTCAGCTCGTTGACAGGCTAATTAAGTCTACATCTGGTGAGTTTTTCACTTACATTATTCTTGGAAAACAATATCTGAATTGAAACTTTTGGAGGTTGATTTTTTGCTCTGAGCTCTTGCCTGAAAATTTTCAGGCAATTAATTTAAGCTAGGACAGTACAGTTCTGGCTTGTTCAATCGAGGCTAGCTTCCGTGAGAATGATTATGTCATCCGCAAAGATGAGATCGAAAATGTGCAGTGAGGTAGACATGCATGGTCATTTTTTTTGAAAGCTAAGGGTAATACATACCTTTCAATTCCATCTAATTCCCCTTGGTTACCTCATGCCATATATATGATGATGCACTTGAACTCCGATTTCAATGAGCACAACTATTAATTTCAATCAAAATCTTCAAATAAAATGAAAGAAATACAAAATTGAAGAATAAAAATTCACAATTAAAAAAAAAAAAAAACAAAGGACCATGATTTAATCAATGACATAAAACAAGCCAGAATACAAGAATAGTTCAAGAACGACACCCGCAACATGAGTGGACAACTATGAGGAACATGATTGGGCAGTAGCAACCAGTATGACATTGGACAACGGATTCATATTGTCAGTGGCTATAAGCATGCATGCATGTATTTATAATAATGTTAAGCCATCTATGAAATTGAAACGTCCATATCGTAATGATAATAAAACTTTATCCATCTATTAAATAGATAGGTCCCCAGCAGTTTAGCAAAATACTGAATGTAAAATTGATCAGAATCAAATGCTCATAGTAGCCACATCAAAGTCTCATCAATTTAGGACAAAATAAAGTTAAACATAAAACACAATACAGTCACATGGCCTGATAACTGAACCAACATTTTTCACTCCCTAAGAAACTAAATTTGCAAAATTTAGGTATTTGTAGCCCTGGTGTATATCTGCTGGCTGGCATGTGCTGACACCATCCTGATCAAACCTCTTGCCATCAATTCACGGATTGCCCTTCTTGCAAGTGATCCGCTGATCTGTTGGACCAGTATGAACAAAATGAGATCAGTACTTAGTGCCAGCCAGTAAACAATTTAGAATCAAAGACATTCCTTGATCCGCTCATCAAGAAAAAGAAAGGTAACAAAAATGATGGGTAAACAAAAGGTAGTTTGAAGGCACAAATCTTTTCTACCACAATCATAACAGAGAATGCATCCAGCTATTGAAGGGAAAATGTCAAATAAGGCCTTAAGAGAATAGTGCAGTTGAGCGAAACTCCATTAAGACCCTATGTATTCAGCAAGTTATTGATAATGTGGCTAACACATGGCATTTTGATACTTGTGTGGATCAAAAGTGTACCCAAAAAAATAATAATAATTGTACACTTATTATTATTGTTATATATATTTTTCAGACAGCCATTAGCTGTTCAAGAGGATAATGTTGTGGCTATCCAAAAAACAATTCATACACTTTTGAAAGACAGCTACGGATATCTTAAACAAGGTCAATTTGGAACTTCAAAAGGTCACAAAGGTGGCCATGGCTCAAGGTCTAGTCTGGATCCCTAGAACTATGACATTTAAAAAAAAAGGTCCAAACTGGGCAGCCATAGCTATCTCTAAATGAAAAAAGTAGCTTTCTATACATTGGACATATGAAAGTACAATGTGTTAACCACATCAACAATAACTTGCTGAATAATAGTGTTTGAAATCAATTTCACTTTTTTGTCAGTTTAAAGGGTCTCAATAGAGTTTTCTTCTCATTTCTTTTTTCTTCAGCTAAGGGCTCGATTGCATTCTTTCTTTACTCAAATATGGGTATATTTGATATGGAGTACTTCTTTCCAATTAGACCAAGAGCAAAGAAAATGTTGCAAAAAAACATTAGTTTTCCAAAAATACTTGTACTTCAAGGCATTAGAGAAGCATATCTTAAATGTTTTCCTTCTCCTTCTTAACTTGTCTTAATCTAACAACAATATAACAGAATGCAATGGATGATATAAACATAGCTAGTATAAAGAGCACTCATCTTGACAAAATTGCATCTCACCAGAATAATATGATCTAAGACTACTTTACACATAGGAAGTTCAGCAATAATGTATTTAGCAATTATATGCTCAACCCCAAGCTTCAATAAATCCAATTTGCCAGATAACAACAGCAAAAACATTAATAACCAACAAAGCAATCTGGCTGATCATAATCTACTTTCTCAATGCTGCCTAATGTATAAACATAAATGATTGAAATTCATCAAATATGATATAATTGGCAACCTAATGGTTAAAAGGGAAAACATCAGTTATAATCACAAACAACAAAGAACCTACAAATTAGATCCATGACTAAATCACATAAAATGCCTTTGTCTATCAATCAACTTAGATGAAAAATAGACAGGGATCAGAAGATATACCCTCAAACGGTCGGAAAGTACGGAAGGGGTGATAAGCTTGTATTTGGGAGCTTCGGTTAGAAGCTTGTCGTAGGTAGCCTTGTCGAAAAGCACCATGTTGTTCACCTTCTCCTTTTGCTTTCCCTTACTCCACTTCTGCACATTCGTCAAACAAACACGCATTAATTCCTTGTCACTCGCCCACAATTCACTAAAATACGCAAAAACATGTTTCGAATTCGCACACAAAGAATCGCTTATATTAAATCAGATATAACAGGAAAGGACCTTCTTCTTCTGCTTGCCACCACCGGACTTGGCGGGCTTAGAGGATGGAGGAGGAGCCTTATCCTTCTTCGGTGCCTACGACCACAATAAACCACCATTATCGAGCTGCGTATGTAAACACAGAAAGAAATAAAATAATACAAAACTACAGATCAAGATCAGTGTCGAAGAAGCACACCATCGCAGACTGGAGAAGAAGCTGTAGAGGCTAGGGAATGAGGCAGATTACTGAGTTGCTGAGAGAGATGAGAAGAAATTAGGGTTTTAATTTGCTAGGTTCTTTTGAAGGAGGAAGTGTTGAATTCTGGGCCGAGCTTTGCTAACATCTTATATATCGGGCTACCAAAGTAGACTTTATTGGGCTTAACCCTTTAATGTGGCAAATTATGCCATGGAATCGTGTTCACCGACAATGGTGAACACAAGGCAAAACGACGTCGTTTTTAGGCAAAAAAAAAAAAATTACGGATGTGGAATTAACGGTGCGCGTTTGATCAAATTATGAATTTTATGTTATTAGATTATGAATTTTATGAAAATTCATAATCTCATAATAGAAAATTCATAATTGCATAACAGAAAATTCATAATCTCACAACTGAAAATTCATAATCTCATAACAGAAAATTCATAATCTTATAACAGAAAATTCATAATCTCATGGTTCCAAAGTGAATGTGTAGGCATGGTTCCAAAGTGAATGTGCAGGCATGGATTCATAATTTATGAATGTCCGTGATTTTCGGACGGGAATATGTAGGCATGGTTCCAAAGTGAATGTGCAGGCATGAATTCATAATTTATGAATGTCCGAAATTATGAATGTAATGAAAATTCATAATCTCATAACAGAAAATTCATAATCGCATAACAGAAAATTCATAATCTCATAAATGAAAATTCATAATCTCATAACAAAAAATTCATAATCTTATAACAGAAAATTCATAATCTTATAACAGAAAATTCATAATCTCATAGTTCCAAAGTGAATGTGTAGGCATGGTTCCAAAGTGAATGTGTAGGCATGGTTCCAAAGTGAATGTGCAGGCATGGATTCATAATTTATGAATGTCCGTGATTTCGAACGGGAATGGCTAGGCATGGTTCCAAAATGAATGTGCAGGCATGAATTCATAATTTATGAATGTCCGAAATCTTTGTTCACCTCAAATTGAAGTGAAAAAGCAAAATGTGAAAATAAAGAAGAAAAATCACGCAATTAATTAAGAAAAAAAAAAAGATAACGGTGTACTAACACGGTTCCATGGCATAACGTCCGCTTTAATGTAGCCTCGGTGTTTATCACTCCAATTCTTATGCCATGGACCCGGGTTCAAAATGACCCAACTTTGCGCGTCTCAAATAACGGTGTTGTTAGTGGCATCATTTCTTCAGTCAATAATATTTTTTGTATGAATATAGAGTTAAAAAATTGTGTTATATTGTTGATATAATTGTGAATATAGAGTTCTGTAATTGTAAATATAAAATTATGTACGTGAATATAGAGTTCAAAAATGTGTTATACTGTTGATTTACGTGTGAATATTGAGTTCTATATTTGTGAATATAAAGTTATGCAATTGTGAATATAGAGTTATGCAATTATGAATATAAAGTTCAAAAATTGTGAATATAAAATGTACTTTTTTTATATTATAAATTCAGACGACGTCACTTTGGACCTGGGTCCACAACATAATTTGCCTTTGTCACTCCTCACTCCTACGTAATATAAACCTTTTCAAATAATCCATTGTTAATTAGTATATTTAAAAATTAAAAATGTCAATTGCACTTTAGGGTATGGAAATTCAAAAAATGATTTTCGAAAATTTTTATTTTCTATTTTTCAATGTTGAGATATCAAAGCAAAATGATCACATAAAATTCTCGAGCAAATACCAATTTTAGGAGTAAATTTCAATTTTGGTCCAATGACTATTGGGGTATTGTTAATTTCAATCCACGATTTTAAAAATTAACAATTGAGTACCCTGACTATCCAATTTTTATCAATTTTGGTTCATCCGGCCAAATTACCAGCCAATCGTCGCCAGAATTTGTAATGGATAAAATTTTGGGGGCAATTTAGTCATTTGCTCTCCTCTTTTCTTCTTCTCCTGTCTCTTCTACGCCGCCTATTGCATAGCTCTGTCTTGAGCATCCCCTGGTTGTACACCTCGAACTCCAGTGCTTCCTCTTCCCTCTTTATGCCAGGAACATATACTTGTTGCTGCTTCTCAAACATATTAACAAAAACGCAGAAATTAGGGATAATTATGATAAAGAGTATACAAATTCAACAAAAATTTGAGATAATTGAGGACCGTTTTAATTTGAACATGACTGACTATGGAGATGCAGATAGAAAATCAGATAGAAAATTGATTGATTTGGACTTACCGATCCGCCAAGAGGTTGAGTATTGTGCGGTTAAATCGGAGAAAACACCCAAGATTCAACAGTTTCATGGTCAGAGATTCCTGCGGCCGCGAAGGTGGCATAAAACCATTTGAGTTTGAGCTGATTTGAGGAGAAATTTTATTTTCAGATTGTGTAGGATGAGTTTGTATTGAAAGTATCTGCTCTTTTGTTGTTTAGTTAATCTTCACTTTTATGCAGAGTATTGCTGGATTTTACTGCAACTTTTCCTTTTGTTCTGTGGGAAATTCATCTTCTTTTGGCTCACAATTGCGCCGTTCTCTGGATTCACTACTCTTTGGGAGATGAGATTTCTATCGTGTCCTTGTTCATCTCATGTTGCCGGAAAATAGGGCACCCCACCCAAACTCTGACGCTCGGTGGCATCGGCTCTAGCTCGCCTGAAGTCCAGAAGAACGGAGAAGAAAAAAAAAAGAGAGCAAATGACTAAATTACCCTCAAAATTTTATCCATTACAAGATTCCGGCGACAATTGGCCGGACAGACCAAAATTGATAAAAATTAGATAGTCAGGGTACTCAATTGTTACTTTTTAAAGTCATTGATTGAAATTAACAAGACCTCAATAGTCATTGGACCAAAATTTAAATTTTTACTATAAAATATTAGCCTGGCCCACAATTCAGGTTTTTTTAACAATTAAACTTTATTCCTTCTCAACTTGTTCATCCCGAATTCCTATCCATGTTCACCTGTATAAATAATTTTACACAAAAACAGAATGTAGACAAAAATTAGCATAAGCTAAGTAAGTTTCACTTCACCCCGTAAAATAATGGTTTGGATTTTTTATATTTTCAAAACTCATATAATTTCATACTTTTCCAAAATACCTGTGGAGTTATACATTTTTCTTGTATGGAGAATAAATAGTTATTTATGGAGAAGTAACCAAACTTTTTGAAATCCACTTTGAAACTGGACTAAAACCTATGTGCACACCCCAGAAGATTCCAAGCCAGTGGATAATATATGATCCAAGTAGTTAGGTTTTCCTACCTACTACCACTCAAACAATTTGGAAACTGAATCAGAACTTATGTGATACACTCTCATGTGATTCCAAGCCCAATGAGTAGCAAATAGTCCAAGTAAACCGTACTCACTCTTACTTGGACACCACACAATATATTATTTTCTCAAAATTTCATTATTTCTCCACAAATAAATACTTTCTCCACAAAAATACAATTTTCTCCAGAATATATAATTTTCTCCAAATATATTTTTCAAAAAAAAAAAAAAGAAATACAATTTTCTCCGCATGATTTGTCCAAAATATAATTAAAGTTCATAATCCAGTATTAATACAATTTCACAATACTACTATGTATACAACACCAAAAATTTCAAGCCAAGTATTTACATAATGCACGAGTTCTACAAATCGAAACTCATTCTCGATATTTCGAGAATCACCACTCACAATATTACCATTTATCGATAAATGTACTTGTATTCACATGAATAACATATATCATATAATATCAATACATACAGTACTCGGGAAAAATAATAATTTTGGTGAATATAAAATCTTACCCTCGAAGGCAAACTTTCTATCAACCTTAAGCATCCTAACCACCTTGATAAGAAACCTGCATGTGAATCAAATAAATCCAATAATAATAATAAGCGAAGCATATTATTCATTGATCATCATCATCAATCTCAACAAACTTAGATTTAAACAAAAGAATTTGGAGAGTAGAAACAATTACCTGAAGTAGAGATTAAGTGAATGAGTTTTGCTAGGATTGAAGAAAACGTAGGAATATATTGAAAATCATGAAGAATCAGTAGTGTGAGGGAAGATGAATGAATGCCAAAGTCTAAAAATTTATATTTATAGGTGAAAATAGTAACTCGAAAGGAAAGTATAATAATTTATTTAAAAAATATAGAAAGTAAAGTAAGTAATAAGGTAATAAAATTATTATTATTATTAGTATATATAGATATATAGATTAAATTAAATATTAATTGTATATAATGTCTATATATATATCACACAGAATATTTACTATATTTAATTATTTAATTATTCTTTTACTACCTAATTTATATATTATTACTATCAATATATACATCTAATATATATATAATATCACACGTTTATATAAATGACTATATATATAAATTTACTATCAATATATACATCTAATATATATATATAATATCACACGTTATATAAATGACTATATATATAAATTTTTATATCTATAATTATTATTTCCATAAACATAATATATATGAATTTACATAAATGGCCCTAAGTTTTGGGGGAAAAATTGGTTTGGAGGATTTTACTTTTATATATATATAGATATAGATATAGATATAGATATAGATTGTTTCTTTTTATTTTTCTTAATTTAGAGTTATTACATTTATCATTGTAAGATTAACGAGTTGAGCCAAACAATGAATTTTGACTTGACTTGACCCCGACCCAAAAATTTTAAAAGTTACAATTTATATTTATTTGTATATAAAGTTATTATATCTATCTATTTATATACATATTTTTTATTATAAAAAGTTACAAGTTAAAAATTATTTATTTAAATCTTTTCATTATAATTATTGTTAACCATTATAAAATTTATTTTATAACTTTATTTTAATATAAGTAATAATTATTATCATCATTAAAATAATAAACATTTTATAACAAATAACTTTGTAATAGATTTCTTCATTTATAAAAATAACCAAACACACACACACAGATATATATATATATATATATATATATATATATATATATATAATTTTCTGACTTTAATTAACCAAAAAAAAAAGATTTATTTTCTGATTTTCCCTAATTTTCTGGCTTTAATTAACCGAACAAAAAAAATTATTTTATGATTTTCAGTAAAATACTCGAGAGTGAAAATATTTTGTAAATAATAAGTCATTTTAAAAAAATTATTTGTCATAAAATATTTTCTGAATTTTCAAATGGATTCTTAAATTCTATAGGGCGGCATACAAAAATTGATAAAGATGGAGGAGATTTATTCCTCACCAATGACGAGGTTGAGACATGGCCCTCAAATATATATATATATATATATATATATATATATATATATATATATATATATATATATATAGTAAATACCAAATGGGTTGAGACTATTTTTTGTCTTTTTTTAAACAGACTAATTTATAAAAAGAAACAATTACTTTATTAATAAGATGAGGATGGATAAATGTTTCTTCTAAGCTCGTGGATTAGGGTGATGGTGTAGAATTATTGGAATGAAAAGCAACGAGACAAGGTTCCCCACCCGTTACAAATTAATTTAATTTGCATTTCATTGTAATTTGTAGCAAGCAACATACACCGAGAATAGAGAAAAATTGTAAAACAACTACAGTGATCTCATAGTGAATTTTTTCTTTTACTTTTTAGTCATTATTGTTTGATGGTGTAAATAGATCTCGGGGTATATGGGTTCCAATTAATACATGCCACTTAGTTATACACTTATACTAAGGCATAGTGTGAATGTAAGAGGTAGTAATTAATGGGGTCGAGTAGCTAAGGGTCCGATCATCATATGAGGTCAGGAAGCTCTGGTTGGTACAATCTAAGTTGTGACAAATCAATATATCCCCCCTCGCATTAGGTAAAATGTCCTATTTATACCAAGTAACAAGGCGACATAATGATGGCAAGTTGCTGACATAGCTAATATGGCACCCATTGATTGGGCACTCAGGTCGGTCACAACATGCATAAGTTAATGATGTGACAATTGGTGAAGTTATTACGGATCGGAGTTGACTTGTCTAGTACTTAACGTGCCTCTAATATATAATAACATCATTAAGGATCTACTTTGTAAGTGGACTATGAGTCCGCGTAATAATTTTCCATTAGACTAAATAATACAAAATATATAATCTATACTATATATAATAACAAAATCCTGAAATTTTAACTTCCCGTCCAATTCCTAAAAAAATTCTCTTCCTAATAAAATATATTGATTTCTACTTTCCCATTCGTACAATAATTCTGCGTTAAAATTATATTCTAGTATTATAAAATAGTGTAATACAATTCCTATTGTAATCAATCAATCTATACTATATATAATAATAAAATCCTGAAATTTTAACTTCCCGCCCAATTCCTAAAAAATCTCTCTTCCTAATAAAATATATTGATTTCTACTTTCTCATTCGTACAATAATTCTGCAAACTATTCCTATTCTAATCTATATCTATACTATATATCAGTGTTTCAAAAATCGCATTGCTGGCCGCGGCGATGAAGGCCGGAATTGGCCTCTTTCGTGGCCACCCCTCCGGGTGAATAGGCGATTAATTTTTTTTTTTTTTTTTTTTTTAAGTTGTAATGTGTCAAAACTTCGGCACGGCATAACTTTTGACTCGGTTGTTCGTTTTGGACAAATATTTTTTTAAAATCACGTATTTTTTCGAGATCTATCCACCGCAAACTGCCGTAGGCGGTTTGGCCCACCAATTTCTAAAAATTAAAACTGCTTTATTAAATAGTTTCTAAGAAAAAACTACGAGAACATTATATTTTATTAATGAATTTTTAAAATTTTTTATTAAAAAATTGTCTCATGCATTATTTAATAATCTTTCTTAATAATTGGTCAAATTATTTAATTATGGTAAATTAGGAAATAATTAATGATAGAAATCCTAGAAGAATATGTAATTATTGTGACTCACGAAATACAATACAAGAATATTTAATTATGGTTATATTATTATTGTGCCTCACGGCCATTATATACTAACAGAACTTGAAAAGAACTAATAATAATAATATAAGTGGTAATAATAATATCTCAAAGTAATTAAGTGTTAATAATAATAGTAAGAATATTAACTTAAGAATTATAACATAGAATAAATCGTAATAATTAATAACTATAGTCTAGGATTAAATTTAGAATTGTCAGGAAAGATAAGCGACTTCTGGTGAAATTAACTTTTAAATAATTATATATCGATTTAAATATTCTTAATATATTACAATAATTCCATTCCGTGCATTGCACGGGTGAAAATACTAGTTATCATAACACACAAATAATATGAAATAATTGCATTCAAAAAAATAATATGAAATAATTAATTGATCATTAACTTAGCATAATAACTTACTCCGTATTATATTGCGTAACATTACATAATACATTATTATATTTACTCTATAGTACTCATAATGAACATTGTTGATGAGGTACACGTACAATAATAATTAGTAACTTGTTCAAATAAATAACTTTTTAAATAAAATTACAAAAAAAAAAAAATTTACAATTTCTAGTTTTTCAGAATGCAACCAAACACTGAAAAGGAAAATATTTTTTTTGAAAAAACGAATCATTTACTCATTTTCCTGCTTTCCAAACAGATCCTAAATTATACTATATGTTGGTTCCACCCATTGGACCACAAGGTCTTTAGCCACTATGGTATATAATCATTAAAAAAATACATAGGTAAATATCAAATTATCAACTGATGGAATATAATAATAAATTATTAAGTATTTTAAAGGGAATATCTTCCCTTCAATTC